TGTCACTGAGACGACTGGTGTGGATATGGTGTGTTGTATGTAAAGTGTAATGTTGTATTCCAAGAGTCATGACTGACCTGGTTGCCACCCAGTCACTTTTATCGGTATTAAACACTGAGCAAATGGGGAGACAACCAATGTCAGTGACGATGCTCACGTACTTTACTGCAGAAACAGAAGCAGATCACACGTCAGATAACTTCACAGCTGGTCAAGCTCGCTCCACGAGTGCAGCGATTGTGTAACAATCAAGCTTTCTCCCGTACCTGCTGTGTTCCCCAGGTTCAGCTCTCCAGCCCAAGTGTTGACAAGGACCCCCTGTCCAATGGAGCTGCCGAGCACAGCTTGACCTCTAAAAGATGCGTTCTTTGGGATCATCAGAGGGTGGAAGTGTGTATCCAGATATGCCTTGCTGCATGTGCTGTTCTTGTAGTTCAGCTTGTACATGATGCCCTGTGACGCATGACAGAGTTAGGATCAGCAGTGGCACCAGTTACTTTAACACAAATGTCACTTATTTGCTGCCATTACCTGTTTGTAGAGCAGGATGGCATCAAATTGAAAAGTTTCATTGTTGTAGTCTCCAACCTCTTGTAGGCGGATGCGCTCTCCCACTGCATCATAGGTGTAGTTGGCGTATACCGTCTGCAGCCCTTTTTGGGAGGCCTTAAAACATACAAATATATAGGTTTGCCTTAAGTTTATTTTACTTCATAACACAACATTTAAAAGCTCTGAAATGAGCTGAGCCTTACCAGAAGGAAAGAACCAGTCATCAGAGTTGGAGAGGCTGTCGGGATGAAAGAGTTTATATAAACAAAGCTTTGGAGCATTTCTGTGATGCTTCAGAAGAAAACCTACAGGATAAATTTCTTAAATTTCTTTCATCTGTGTGTACTTACAGCATGGGTGATGTATCTGAGCCAAGCAGCCCACTACTAAACACACAAGCAGGACGAGAGCTCTCATGCTGTCTGGCAGCAGGTTCACTGTCCTGTTGGGCTGTGACAGATTATTGACTGCTCACCTCCTTGTGCATGTTGGGGAGTTCTTCCACTGCCGCATGTTTCTGATTCCTCAAAGGTTTACGTAGCAGAATCCACCTATCCATCCATTATCTTTACCCCCATCTTCCTTTTCAGGTCATGAGGGTCACTGGCGCCCTGAGAGAATAATCACTGGAATTAGTGAGCATGTTTGTGTGCAGGTGCTTCAGCTGATAGACACTCAGAGATCAGGTAAATAATGTAATCCCTGTATATTTTAAATCAGGAACACAATCCTAACAAGAATCTTTACAAAATTTTAAACCTTTTATTATACAAAGGGAAATGATGACTCTGTAATGAGAGACGCCGAGAGATGGATTTAGCTCAGGGGTGCTCTCTTACATTTTATAATATCTGGACTAATTCAAGTACATAATATTATACTTAATTGAAACGGATTCTTTCATTTTTCTGGACTTAGTAATATCGTGCCTAGAAGATTAAATGTGGACAAAGACGTGTTTAAATTTCTGACCCACCAACAACAGTGCGGTCTTTTATTTATCAAACGATTTAAACACATCACACATTTTACACATTGATTGGCATAATTGATTACAATAACACAGCTTAATTAATGAGCTTTACAATGAGAAATCATACAGCCATGATTCCTCACTTGCAGCTTGAAACAACAGACATATCCTTAGATCTTAAATTAATGTCTGTAGGCTTTTAGCTTATCTTTACTGGCAGGGAAATATAGAGATGGAGTAAACTTTAAGAAGGAAAAGTGGATACTTAGGGTTAACTAAGATAATAAAGAAAAGATGGGGAGTTATCTTGTTTGAAACCAGATAGCACGTTTCCCGGTGATTTCAGCTAGATGGTACCCGAGCGTCGACTCTTTACCTTGGTGGGGTTTCAGAGAGGCCTTCTCCTGGCATCCAGCAAGGCTGAGTCTTTATCTCCAGGGATTTATATCCACTTCTCATCAACTTGGGACCACGAGGCTGACTGGCCCAGCTTCCAAAATAAACTCCCCCGAAAGATAGGATTAAGTTAAGTGGAATTTCAGCAAACGTGCTGAACTCCTGAGATGTTGAATAGGTCTTTGGCGTGATGACCTGAACCAACACTCCAGACAGGTGTCATCTTTCAGAAAATGACCACCGTGGACTTCACCCTTGCAAAGTCACTCTTGTCTTCCTTCTCAGCAGAACTCTCTGTTCTGAACTTTTGGAACTTCTGTTCTCTCTGGAACTAGGAAGTGTCGACTTTTAAAGAGTTCTGCTTCCTGTCACTTTTGGGAAGTCCTGATTGGTTGAAAGAACCAACAGGGGTGTGGTTTTAGTGACGTCAGAGGGTCATTACAAGTCAGAAAAACAGCAGAGATGTTTAGGAACAGACAGAGAAATGTTTTGGAGAAATGACAGACTTACAGGTGCCAGTTTTCTTGTTTCTGTCTGAGAGGTTTAAAAACATGACAGTTCGTTCCAATAAACTTGTTTGCGACTGTCTCCGACTTTTGACCGACATCACACCTTTCTCATTTCAGACAGAAGATCAAAAATGCATAATTACTTTGTAACATAGACATTTAACTTGATTTCTACTTTGAATGAGGTTTAAAAATCATTAATACTGTTTCACAGTTGATTTAAAATGAGTGGTTCACTTCAACATTTAAAAATGGTTTGAACTAAACACACTTTTGATTATCAAGACATTGTAAAATAGTAAAATAGTAATGATAATATAAAAAAGCGAGTGTTCTTTCAATTGATTAGTTCAGGATACAATTAGAAAGTCTCTGGGTGAGCTAATTTGTATTTCTGGATTCAAATCAATGAAATAACAGTTCCTGTCCCATGAAGGTCTTCAGAGGCAGGTCTTGACCAGAGGCTTAGTTCACTACAACTCCTTTAGCTACCCATCTCCATTCAGATGTTAGATCACATTTCATTTTAACTGGTGATATAAAAACAAACACTCAACCTCTGAGCAGCAGGATCTGAATCCAACCAGAAACTTTCACTCCACTTGTACGCCGACTATGTGAAGGTTTGCTCCGTGTCTCGTGCACCCAGACTCTATTGCTTAGCAGACTGGACCCACTGGCAAGATGGATCAAATCTTGGGGAATATTCTCAGGCACGGTGGTGTGTTCACTTAATTTGGACCTTTCGGAATCTACGTGAGACCAACAAAGACTCAAGGCAGATAAAATTTAGTAAAGTTCTGCCTGTCTCTAAAATAAATGTTGTTCATCTGAATTTGGCCCCCTCGGCTGGCCTTGTTGGCCACCTTATTTCAGTTCACCTGGAGGCTGTGTAATCCGACAGTCTATCAGGGTCTTTCTTCTCAGACAAGAAGAAAGTTTGATAGGAATTTTGTTTGCCTCCAATTTCCTACATGTTCAGTTTCACTACTATTTTGTCTGTACAGATCTCTCTTGTAAATGAGTCTCTGAGGCTCAATGTGATTTATCTGTCTAAACAAAGGTTGAATGAATGAATGAAAAAAAGTCCAGAGTTTCTTTGAGAAACTACAAAAGCATATTTAAAAGGGTTCACTGTTTCATATATGGTGCATCGTAAGAAAATATTACAGATGAAACAAAACAAATTAGAAATGGCTCTAAAGCAGGCAGATGCTACTCATAAATCCCAACCTACTAAAGAAAATCTTGTTAAGGTACAACCTATTAGAGCTGCTCTGAATTCAATTATAAATGAAAAGGCTGTGAGGTTATTATTCTACCAGAGACAACGTATGTACAGATATAGAAATAAACCTAGCAAATACCTGGCACGATTGAGACATCACAACAATATAGCAAGCATTACAGATGCGGTGGGTAACAGACACTTTGATAAGAAAAATATTAGTTCTGTATTTATGTCATTTTACAAATCCTTATACAAATCTGATAACAATAGCACAATAGAGGAACTGGATAAATTTCTTTCTAGAGTCAAGCTGCCAACAGAGACAGGAGAGCAGCAAGACATTATGGGTAGGTCCATACAGGAAAGGGAAATATTGGAGGCAATAGTACTAATGCGTAGTGGGAAATTGCCAGGTCCTGACGGATTTTCAGCCAATTGGTTTAAAGCATATACAGTTCCTTGCGAAAGTATTCGGCCCCCTTGAACTTTTCAACCTTTTGCCACATTTCAGGCTTCAAACATAAAGATATAAAATTTTAATTTTTTGTGAAGAATCAACAACAAGTGAGACACAATTGTGAAGTGGAATGAAATTTATTGGATGTGTCTAAATTTTTTAACAAATAAAAAACTGAAAAGTGGGGCATGCAATATTATTTGGCCCCTTTACTTTCAGTGCAGCAAACTCACTCCAGAAGTTCAGTGAGGATCTATGAATGATCCAATGTTGTCCCAAATGACTGATGATGATAAATAGAATCCACCTGTGTGTAATCAAGTCTCCGTTTAAATGCACCTGCTCTGTGATAGGCTCAGAGTTCTGTTCAAAGCACAGAGAGCATCATGAAGACCAAGGAACACATCAGGCAGGTCTAAGATACTGTTGTGGAGAAGTTCAATGCCGGATTTGGATACAAAAAGATTTCCCAAGCTTTAAACATCCAAAGCAGCAGTGTGCAAGCAATCATTTTGAAATGGAAGGAGTATCAGACCACTGAAAATCTACCAAGATCTGGCCGTCCCTCTAAACTTTCATCTCGAACAAGGAGAAGACTGATCAGAGATGCAGCCAAGAGGCCCATGCTCACTCTGGATGAACTGCAGAGATCTACAGCTGAGGTGGGAGAGTCTGTCCATAGGACAACAATCAGTCATACACTGCACAAATCTGGCCTCTATGAAAGAGTGGCAAGAAGAAAGACATTTCTCAAAGACATCCATAAAAAGTGTTGTTTAAAGTTTGCCACAAGCACCTGGGAGACACACCAAACATGTGGAAGAAGGTGCTCTGGTCAGATGAAACCAAAATTGAACTGTTTGGCCACAATGCAAAACAATATGTTTGGCGTAAAAGCAACACAGCTCATCGCCCTGAACACACCATCCCCACTGTCAATCATGGTGGTGGCAGCATCATGGTTTGGGCCTGCTTTTTGTCAGGAGGGACAGGGAAGATGGTCAGAATTGATGGGAAGATGGATGGGGCCAAATATACAGGTCCTTCTAAAAAATTAGCATATTGTGATAAAGGTCATTATTTTCCATAATGTAATGATAAAAATGAAACTTTCATATATTTCAGATTCATTGCACACCAACTGAAATATTTCAGGTCGTTAATTGTTTTCATACTGATGATTATGGCATACAGCTCATGAAAACCCAAAATGCCTGTCCCAAAAAATTAGAATATTTCATCCCACCAATGAAAGACAAGTGTTTTTAATACAAAAAACGCAAACCTTCAAATAATCAGGTTCAGTTATGCACTCAATACTTGGTCGGGAATCCTTTTGCATGAATGACTGCTTCAATGCGGTGTGGCATGGAGGCAATCAGCCTGTGGCACTGCTGAGGTGTTATGGAGGCCCAGGATGCTTCGATAGCGGTGTTGGGTCTTGCGTCTCTCAACTTTCTCTTCACGATATCTCACAGGTTCTCTATGGGGTTCAGGTCAGGAGAGTTGGCAGGCCAATTGAGCACAGTAATACCACGGTCAGTAAACCATTTACCAGTGGTTTTGGCACTGTGAGCAGGTGCGAGGTCGTGCTAAAAAATGAAATCTTCATCTCCGTAAAGCTTTTCAGCAGATGGAAGCATGAAGTGCTCCAAAATCTCCTGATAGCTAGCTGCATTGACCCTGCCCTTGATAAAACACAGTGGAACAACACCAGCAGCTGACATGGCACCCCAGACCATCACTGACTGTGGGTGCTTCACACTGGACTTCTGGCATTTTGGCATTTCCTTCTCCCCAGTCTTCCTCCAGACTCTGGCACCTTGATTTCCGAATGACATGCAAAATTTGCTTTCATCCGAAAAA